GAGGAGGAGGAACAGGATCAGGGGAATGAGAATCCCCAGGCTGCGCAGCGTCCTGCTCCCAGACGTCAGGCTGGTTTTGAGGTGGAATTTGTCGATAAGTATTTATTTAACTTTTTTAAATTTTGGTAAGTATTTAATTTATATAGAAATTGTATTAATTCATTGATATATAATTTATTTCTTAATTAAATTTTGCAGACACTGAGGGGAACAGGTCCTATAGGAGGCTGACAGCCAGAGAGCTGTCGATGATGACGAGCGGATGAGTGGTTGTGCCGCTCAATGAGTTGGGCCAACCGACGAAGAAATGTGGCCAGTTGTACAACAAGTACGTGCGCCTCTTTGGTCAGCAGTGGACGCTGTTCCCCATCTACGTGCAGGACTGGAAGAAAAAAAATGTGTGCGATAATGTGCTATATACGTTGCTCAATGAAGCTGGAAAGTCCAAAGACCATCTCGCAGCTAGAAAAGATTTACGGGCCTGGGGAATTCGTGAAGAGGCTTGGCCTGATGAAAACGACAAGTTTCAACCAGCTAAATTCACCTTGACAAAGCAGAACAAGGATATCTTCCTCTCGATGTTGAAGAACATAAAAGTACCAGATGGATATTCTAGCAACATCTCAAGGTGTATCGATCTGCAGGCTCAAAAGGTTACTGGGTTGAAAAGTCATGATTCTCATGTTCTTATGCAACAGTTACTTCCATTGGCCTTGAAAAACACACTTCCTTCTGATGTATCAGTGGTTTTAGTAGAATTATGTTCATTTTTCAAGAAGTTGTGTGCGAAGATCTTGATAGCGAAAGAGCTTGATCAGCTGCAAAATAAAATTATTCTTACACTTTGTCACTTGGAGATAATATTTCCTCCATCATTCTTTACTGTTATGGTTCACTTGACTGTCCACCTTGTTCGAGAAGCAAAGGTTGCTGGCCCAGTTCACTATCGATGGATGTACCCTATAGAGAGGTACTAGATTATCTTTTATTCCCGCCTCTTTAAATTTCACATTGTTATTTCATTTACTCGTAATTATTAATGCAATTTTAACTTACAGGTACTTGGGAAAATTAAAATCATATGTTAGGAATAAGGCATGGCCTGAGGGGTCAATAGCAGAAGGTTATTCCGGAGATGAGGTCCTAACTTTCTGTTCGAGGTACTTTGATGACATGGAGACATCTTTTAACCGCCCGCGTCGCGTAGATGATTCTCCTCCTGGTCCTTCCATGTCAACTTTATTTCCTCCTGTTGGGAAACCAGTTGGAGGATATGAATTCTTCAGACTCACTCCTACAGAAAAACTCCAGGCACACAGACACGTTTTGATAAATTGCAGCCAAGTTGAACCCTTCATGCAGTAAGTATATATATCATATAAGCTCACTAGCTTTTACACTTTATATTTGTTTCTTACTGACTTTTCTAACAAATTACACTTTACTATAGTGAGTTTAGGAGTTATCTCAGGCGTCAGCTACGGGGCCATGCGCGTTCTGCTGACATTGATAAAAGAGTCCACAAAGAGTTTCCCAGTTGGTTTACACGTCGAATACGTAATGACAACAGCTCATACACAGATGAATTCAAAGCTCTTTCTCTCGGTCCGTTAGACCATGCACGAAGATTTACCGCGTACAATGTCAACGGCTTCAAGTTCTGTACAGTTGGACGTGATCAGGGATTGCTCACACAAAACTCTAGAGTTTGCGGGACATTCGGAATGAGATGTTATGCTAGCAGTAGTGATGGCGATATGCGCTTTGGAGGCGTCACTTACTATGGAAAGCTAATTGACATTATTGATTTGAGTTACCAGCTTTTCACAGTGACACTGTTCAAGTGCTCTTGGGCAAATACGACAACTTCACGGGGACTCGCTACTGACCATTTGGGCATCACCTCAGTTAATTTCTCTAGACTTATTCATACGGGGGCATCTGAAGATGATGAGCCATATATCCTTGCTTCTGAGGCACACCAAATTTACTATGTCGAGGACGAGAAACATAAAGACTGAAATATGGTCGTTCACCTCAAGCCACGGGATCTTTATGATATGGGTAATGGCGACATTATTTACGACAGTGAACCCTTCCAACCCTCGAATTTTGAAGACTTCTTTCCTCAAGGAGATGATAATTGCCAATTATCAGGTACACGTCTTTTTTTAAATTATTTAAATAATTAACTACTAATTACTAATTTTTTCCAAATACATTATAAATTTAACAAATTTTTTTAAAATGTGTCCTTTCAGGCCGGATGATGATGGAGAATAGTAGCATCCAAAATTTTTATTATTAAAAAAATTTTCCGTCCATAAATACATATGTATAAATTAAAATTCGTTCAGATTTTTAAAAAATAAAAAAAATTAAATTTGTAGCGGTTAATAACCGCTACAAATATAACCGCTACAAAATACTAGCGGTTATTTATACGCTAGAAAATGACTAACAGCTACAAAATGCAATAAAACGCTACAAAAACACCGCTACAAATGTGTCGCTGATCTCTATAAATATCATATCTTCTCTACATTCATTTACTCCATCTCTTTTCTTTCCTCTCCTATTCTTCCTCATAATTCTCTCTTTTTTTCTTACTATCTCATATGGTGGTTTCTTTCTCTTTACTGTATGGTAAGTGAATTTTATTTTATAATTCATTGTATTTTTTATTTGTTTTTACTTAAAATTTACTAACATATTTATTTCTCCTTTTCTTTCAGATTTTTCTTCTTCACACTTGTCATGCCCTCCTCAACTGATTCAAATACTCCTCAACCTAACACTATAGGTTCAATATTACAAACTATCTCATCTTCAATTCAACTATCTTATTAAATATTCAATTCAATTATCTTATTAAATTAAATTCACTTCTTTTGACACACTCATAACTTAATTACATATTGTTTATTACAAAATTTAAATATATAAAATGTAACATATAACTAATTATACAAATTAACAAAAATTCTTCAACATAATTTATTTAATGGTTTTTAAAATTATAATATGAAAAACCATAATTTTTTTTCTGGCACGGTAAACATTTCTAACGGTTCCAAACCGCTACAAATATTTCGTGAAATTTAAATTTTGCGCCAAAATTTCTAGCGGTTCAAACCGCTAGAAAATTTTTTTGGTGCCATTCCAAAAATTTAATTGGCCGGAAAATTTAATTTCCCAAAAATTTCTAACGGTTCTATAACCGCTAGAAATTTCGGCGCGCTAATGAATTATTTAATTCCCGGCAAAATAGATTTGGTTTAGCATGTTTCTAGCGGTTATAGAACCGCTAGAAATTTTTTTCTTTAAACATTTTCTAGCGGTTATAAAACCGCTAGAAAGTCTCTAACGTTTTGACCATAATGTGTAGCGGTTGCCATAACCGCTAGAAATTTTTTCTTGCGCCTGGTTTTCTAGCGGTTTTGTTAATTGCTACAAATGTTATTTGTTGCGGTTAAAACCGCTAGAAATGTGTCATTTTAACCGTTACAATTGACATATTTTTTTGTAGTGTAGGGTGCTGGCAAAAATAAATAAATAAATAAATAGACATAAGATAAATGTGATAATTATTTCTTATAAAAAGAATGGAGGGAGCACTAATTAAGGGCCCTTTCTATCACGTGCCCTAAACCCAAAATTTCTGTAGGATTTGCTCGAAATTAAGATAAAATCAGTCAAGAAAACAAATAATACGCCTCCATAACTGTACCTTTTAGAAGCACAAATAAAGCATTTAAACCTAGAAATTTCAATATGGTACTCAACATTCAAAATCTTCAACTATATCTTGAACCATGAAAAAGAGTAGCCAGGATGATAGGAAACCATGGGTTACAAACACTTACCTCAAAGGTTCTTAAATTTCCTTGATGATTTAAGAGCTCCCAAGACCACTCAAAAAATACCCTAACAGATCACTCTCCTCAAACGACCATTTCTCCTTAATTTTTCGAACTGATTAGTTTCTACTGGAATTCCCATTTCCCCCTTGTTTCATCCAATTAAAATACCCCATGATTAATGCCTCAAATTATAATTAAGGGAGTAATCTGATTACTTGATAATGAAAGGCAAGATGAAGAGCACGATTTACATTAGACTTCTTTTCTCCAAGACTTTAGGGTGTTTTTCTTTATCATCGGCATGTAGTAGCCAAATAGTTGTCATTAGTCCTTCAATCTTATACTACCTCCGATTCTTAATATAAGGCCTTGTTTGACTTTTATTTTGATCTTAAATATAAGACCTCAATTCATTTTGCCTTTCATATTTATGTTTTTTTTCCCCTAAGGTAGTCCTTCTAATAATAGTAGTTTTAGTCAATACATTTAATTAGTAAAGATATTTTAGAAAAGACAACATTTATTTATTATAAATAACTAACTTTACTTGTTTCCTTAATCTCCTCAAATTAGCTAACTAGCTTTTATAATTAGGACCGGAGATAGTATAAGGACAGTTTTTTTGCATGGTAAAGATTGGCACTTACATATGCTTCAGTATATTATTGCCCAAAACTTCTACCATTTCTAGACTCTTTTCTATACATAGTTTTAGGCAATAACTTTGATACAATCGTTTACTTGCTTCTTTTACAAAAACTCAAGACCCCAATATAGTATTACTCCTCCGGTCCTTAATATAGGACCTAATTTTTGAGTTGATGTTGGTCCTAAATATAAGACCCATTTATCATATTTATCAATTTTCTCTAAATTACCCCTATAGATACTCCATCAACCATAATTAAGTAAAAAAGAGAGTGAGGGGTATTAAGAAAGATGATTATGGTGTTTTAGGAAAAATGTGTCAATTTTCTTATAATTAACTAACTTACCTAACTTCCTTAATCTAATCAAATTAGTTAAATGGGTCTTATATTAAGGACCGGAGGAGTATTATTTTACTTAATCCTCTTACATTTCATCACTATAAATCTTATTGAACCTCTCAAACTTTTTACCCAACTCATAAAATCATCAAACCTTAGAAAACTCAATAGTTTGTTTCCCATCATGAGCTTTCCTGAAGAAATGCTTCACATAATCTGAATACAACACATTCTTGTACAATGCTGTCTCCCCACTTGCCACCACTTCAGGCAAAGGTCCTATCACATCTGAGGGTTTAGGGTTCACAAAAATTGGCACTGAAACCCTAACCTTGCCCCCATTTGCTGTCACTCGGTGCTCCACACTCTTGTACCTTCCATTGCTCATTATCTGCAAGGCATCACCGATGTTGATCACCAGAGCGCCAGAGACCGGCGGCATGTGAATCCAGAGCTTGCTGCCGTCATTGGCTCGGACGTAAAGGCCGCCGGTTTTGTCTTGGAAGAGGATGGTTAGGGTTGAGACGTCAGAGTGACGACCTATTGCTACTGCTAGATCTGGGTTTGGACAAATGGGATAGTAGTTGAGATTGATCCTCTTTGAGCCCATGAGAAGTGATTCCTTTGTTTCATCAATTTCTTTCACGTTTAGCCTCTTCATCAGCACTTTTAGGAGCCTCTTGATCACTGTCTCAGTCTTTTTCATGTATTCTAGGGTCTCATCCCTGCAAGGGGGAAAAAAACAAGTATATGTTATAATCGTACAATTTAATTAATATCCGCATGCGCACCATATAATTAATATAAATCCGCATCTATAAATCTAAAAGTTGGTAAATGTATTGGAATTCAAATCTAAATATCGACACTTGTTTTGTACTCCATTTGTAGCCCACCATACATATTTGTAGATTGCCATTATGACAACTATCAATAAGCCCCACTACCTTGCGGCCTTGCGAGCTACCAAGTTAGCTACTGAACTACGTCAGCAATTTAAATTTTTTGGATGTTAGGGTAGTAAAGTGATATCCTGCTTCCGATTCTTAATATAAAAGTTAGTCTGATATTTATTTTGTTTATAAATATAAAATTTAAATTCATCTTGTTTCTCATACTTATTTATTTATTTTTTCAAAATAGTCTTTGTAGTAATTGTATATGTTAAAGATTTTATTAAATGATCATTTTAGCTAATATACATGATTTGTAAATGTATTATAGAGCAGACAATACATATTTATTACAAAGAACTAACTTGATTAATTTTCTTAATCTACTTAGTCGATTCTAACTCTTATATTAATGACTAGTAGTATATGGTAATTAACTTTTAAAACCAAAACTGATAATTAATAATGTAAAATATGACCAATAATTAATATTCTCTATCAAGCTGACCTGCATGCAGGAGGCCAAGTTGTTGCAACCTCGTCCTCAGAAACAAAGAAGAGACTAATATAATCTTTCCACTCGAGAGCCTTCTCTTTCTCAGGGCTAAAGCTCGAACCATACCTAACATTATTAGAAGGTGAATACTCTTTCGAGTACTTAATCTTCTCATGAGGAGGCAATTCAAAGAACCTGTAAGTCGCAGCCTGGACATTCTGCAGAACTTGCAGAGGCACGCCATGGTTCACAACTTGAAAGAAACCCCATTTCTCAGCAGCATCACAGATCGCATCTGCAACATCTGGGTGTTCCCAATTAGCCATGTCGATTATGGGAATAGAATATTGTTGAAGATGATCATGAGGAACAACCTTGAAGCTGCTTGGCCTCTCTTCTAATGGCTGCACGTACTGCTTTGGGAGGGTCTTAAGTCCCATATCGGACAGTCCTTTCACTCCATGGCCTTGAACAAGTACAAATTCGGTGAGATCAGAGGGTTCTGCTGTTGTGAATTGGGTAACTGCCGTTGTTGGTTCCATTTTGCTTGAAAGCAAGGTTTTGAGCTTTCGCTTTAAGAGGTTGAGAGGGAAGAAGATTACTCCGTGTTTGAACTTTGAAGTGCTTTGGGTTGGGAAATGTATTTATAGACTTAAATTTGGAGCTTGCGTCTTGTCTTCATGTGGATACCTGCTGGTGTGGTGACAACTTGGCTAAAGATTACGCATCTATTTGTCTTTAATTATTTATTCTTTCCTTTTGCTATATCCTCTCTAGTCACATTTTTCCTGATATGTTCTCTCTCTCTTTTTTTTTCTCATTTATTATTATATATAAGATATTTGAAAATAAAAATATGATTCTAACTTATTTATTATTTTGAATTAATTCTAACTGATTTTTTCTTAAATACTAATTAGGTATTTGAAACTTATACTAAAAATTAAAGGAAAGAGTAAAAAGACAAATATACCTATTATAATTTCAAAAAAAAAAACATTAGACATCATAAGAGATAAAAATACTCATAAATTTTTTAAAATGGGGCAAAAATATCATTTCCATTGAATATTATAAAAGGATGTTTAGATGGAAACTAAATTATAGTTTCAGAAATATTTTTACAGTTTATAAAATAAATATATAGAGGAGTTTATGTTATTTTGCAGAAAAATATTTTTAAAAGTTACCTGAGAATTACCAAGCACCCTGTAAGTGTCAGTTACTTTTCTTTTTTGCGGGTCCCACTAAATTTTCATGTGTCAACTTTTAAATGCCCTGCTCTTAGACTCTTTCTTATTTGTCCTTACCAACTCTTTCTCCCTCTCATCAAGGACTGAGTGTGAATAGATCTTCATTCGAGCTCCCCAAATATCTCTTGTTATTCTCTTGTCAGTTCTCAATCACTCCTCTCATTCGCACAACACAATCACACTTTACTTCCATCTTCTTCCTCTTCTTCCCTTTGTCTCTCTAACCAATGTGAATAGATCCTCCTTTATTCCCCTCTTCCTCCTCTCCTTCTTGTTCATTGTCATCGTCATCACCATCACCCTTCCGAGCATCATCACCGTGGTTTGAGGATTGGTTCTTGGAGAAATAAGTTCATCGGCGATTTTGCCGTCAGGTTCGGCGACATTTCCACTGGCATGTTTTGGTACTGGGACGGTTTGAAATGCCTGGTGAGTGTGATTTTTCTCCGACAAATGCTCTCTCAATTTATTATTACTCAGGTCCTTTATTTAAGGATTTGACTGCTCTGTTACCCACAGATTACATGCTTTTCTTCAACTTTTCTTATTTGAATCTTACTTCTCCTTTTTAATACCTTTTTTTTTTTAGGCTTCAGCTTACGATTCAGAGTCACCACAAAAGTTTTAGCTCTTGTTCATAGATACCCATTTCAAAATTGTTTGTCTGGCGAATCAAATGCCGTGAGAATTAAGGGTCTACCTTTATGCCATTCACTTGTTTTTGCATTTTAAAAACTATTTTTCTATGACGATTTATTTAATAAAACATCATAAAAAGTTATTTTTCACGACGGTTATAGTGAAAAACTCATTTTAGCTGCTGTTAAAGAGGGCTTTTTTATCCAGACACAACAAACAGTAAAAATATTTACTCAAATGCTATAAGATTAAAAATATTTACTCAGATACTACACTTGAAATCGTTCAGACAGTGAACGAGTTTAAATTTGTAAAGTTGTTCAAGCCAAAAACGACTTCAGTGGGACCCACATCACAAAATGGAAGTTGTTCTTGGTCTGAACAACTTCAGTGGGACCCACTATTTGTCTTACACTCCATGCGTTTTCAGCTTTCATATTTTGACCAGACTATTTCTGCCTTTTCCAGCCACACGCAAAGTGTTCCTTCCAATATTCCCATCAATATAGAGTAGTCATTCCTTGTCTCTCATGCGTGAGTACTTTGTTTTTGCATGTGAGTGTATAGTATGAATTCTACTTATATAAGCCATTCGGCATTCTTTTTATTTAATTATTCCAAAATTATAACTAAAATTCTAAAATTATAAATAGAATATTATTATTATTTATTTAATATTATTTATATTTAATTAATTCTATTTAATTAATAATTAATTAATATTAATTAGATATTAATATAGATTTATTAAAAATAAATAGTATATTGAGGAAATTTCTAGATTTCACATCGAATTGAATTGTAGAAATATGATAATCTCCTCCAAGAATTTTTAGAAAAAAATCCGTCAGATTCACATTTTATTTGATCCTTAGTTTCTAGTCGAAAGGTAATAATGTATTCCCACTCATCATAAGCCTTCTCCTCACTTAACGGAGTGAAAAGGGCTTTTGTTTTGCATGTTTTGGGTTTTGCAATCTGACCCAGCTTTGTGTTACTTAGGGAATTTTTAGCAAAACACTGCAAACAGGGGAAAAAAATTCTTCAAATACTACATAGTGAGAATTATTTCCCCAAATACTACACTCAAAGTTGTTTTAGCTTAAACAACTTTAAAAGTTCATCTTAATAAGAGCAATTTCTTCAATAAACATTGGTTCCCATGCAGCTGAACTTCATCTTGGCTTGAACAACGTTTAAAATTCATCTCAGTAAGAGCAATTCCTCCAATAAACCTTGTCTTCCGTCTAGCTGAAATTCATCTTGGTGTGAACAACTTTTAAATTTCACCAGCATCTGAACAACTTCTTCACAATCTCTCACCACATAAATATTCCTACAGGGATGTTAATAATGGTCATATCATTAGAATAATGAGTTAATAATTATATAATGATAATAGTAATAATTAATATTATATTAATTAAAAAGTGATTAAAGAAAATAAGTAATGATTAAATGTTATAAAATTAATAACAAATAACAATTAAATTGACATGAACAAAAATAAGAATTAATTTACCTCACAAATAATGACTCCCCGTGCCACATCTTGGTCTCCTCCGCGCACGCTGTGGCCGTTGTTGTATATTTACTTCTTGAGTTTGATCTAATGTCTCATTTGTCTGCGTAGTTGACGTATTTAAATCAAACCAAGGTGATTCGACTAAAGAAATTGATTGTCGAGGGGTGACAAATGCTTCATTTGATGGACCACCTTGCTCAAAAGAAGAAGTGTTATATTGATCGATAAATAATGCAGGATCATCAAATAAGGACATGAATGACTGAAATTGAGGAGGATTGGGTGAATCAGAATGGGATAATGTTGATGATGATGGCATGTGATGAGGGTAAAAATGAGTTGGATTGGAAGAGGTGATAGGGCTTGATGAGACTGGTATGTTATCAAAATGACTAAAATTTTGAGGCTCTTGTTCATTTAAATTTTCATTTACAATTGGTGGCTGAGTAGACAAGTAACCGCCTCGCCGTTTGCTTGGTCTATCTCGAGGAATTTGTGGACGGGGTAGCTCAACTGGTGGTGGAGCTGGTTGAGAATTCATATTAAACCGTTGTTCTCTAACTGCAAGTAAGATGTTACGCTGGTCTCGAGCAACTCTTTCTCGATAATCAATGCAATCAGAGCATGTTGAACGAGAATTAATTGTTAGCCTATATAACTGTTCTACTATGTCAGCCTGAAATAAATAAAACATTAGGTTTGAAAAAAATTTTGTATAAAAGAAAATGATGATATTGATCAGAAAAAACTAAAAAAAACCTTACCACATAGCCAGTATCACCACTAACACGTTGGATCCATCGTCTTGTATGTCTCCAATACCATTGCATGTACTCAGATGTTCGATCAAGTTCACCAAGTGCCAGAGGAGCATCAACAACAGCATGTGGCCATCTATTCCATGCTTCAATGAAGTTTGAGTATTCTTCAGTCCAATTTGTGCTTATTCTGCCACGTAGTTGTATTGTATGGTAATTTCCTAAATGAACAGGCATGACAGGAATAGGTTGTTGACGACCGAATTGCCTTAGTACACGATCAGGGTGATGCCATTCTATAATATGAAAACATATTAGAGGAACTGAAGCAAGCCAAATTTCAGGTGTTGCCAAGCAGTATTCTGGAATCAATTGGCGCACTTCAGAAGATTCATATGGCTGCCAAATTATGTCATCATCGGTCATTCTATCAAGAAGACTCCTATATTGGCGTAAGGATGTGACACTTGGACGAGGATTTTGTCCTACATTTTTCCATCTAGCATTATCAACAACCCAAAAAAGTAGTGTTAAAATTTGTAAAATTTCAATAATAAGTACATATGAAATATTTGTTGTGTGATTTTGGCATACCTGAAACCCAAAGGAGGTAAGAGAGGGTAGATATTAGACTGTGGATCTGGAGATACAGGTTGTTGTGGTGCTAGCGTAGGAAAACGATCCCATGCCCATAAATGTAATAATGATAAGCACCCTCCAATCCCATCTTCAGTTGGATTAGTAGCATTACATAATTCTCTATACAGTGAGCTAAAACTGCTGAACCCCAACTAAAATTTCCAACTTCTTCCAGATTATAAAGTAGTGGAAGGTACATCAAATACACCCTAGTACATGATCTATCTGGCATGAGATATCCTCCAATCAACTTGAGAATATATGCACGAGTGAATTGTTGAATTTGTACATCGTCTGCATCATCAGCTAAGTGATTAAAGTGCTCTTCCAACCAATTCATAAGTAGTCGTTGTCCAAGTATTCTATCTGCAGGTGGTCTAACCCCTAGAAGCCATTCACAAACATCTTGCCAATTAAAGTCAGTTTTCCCAATGACAGGCATTCCTACACAAGGAAGGCCTAACTGTATAGCAACATCCTCTAATGTTATCGTGCACTCTCCACGTGTAGTATGAAATGTGTGAGTCTCAGGACGCCACCTCTCAACAAGGGCTGAGACCAAACTCCGGTCGTAATCAAATTGCCCTACCCTCGCAACACCATAAAATCCAGCTAATCTAAGATATTCAAGTATCTGATTGGGTGGCTCAATCATTCGATTAGCATGCATGACTCGTCTAGTGTGTAGGATTCGAGAAACCTATAGAGAAAATTTTAAAAAAAAAGTT